CACCCCCCAGAGTGCCCTCAGTTCTGCCACCGAGAGCCCCATGGGAGCAGCCACAGCCAGCCCTGGGGCTCTACAGACAGCCGTATGGGGTCTCCATCCGCAGAGCCCACAAATACATGTCCTCTGCCTTAATGACAGCCTGAGCAAAGCCCCGGACAAAGGCTTCTAGTAGCTCCCAGCAGCATTGCTCCCCCCTGCACGCTCACCAACCCTCAGACAGCACCACTCACAATCTTCAACTCGGCCACTTCCGACTGGAGTCGTGGCGCAGCCCAAATGAGCGTAGACACCGCTTCTGCCAGGCCAGAGTCCAGCTCCCTAAGGGCAACAGAAGACAATCCTAAGTCCATATCAAACACCTAGATATTGCTGCCCCCAGTCTGCCTAGCCCAAAAGTCCCCATCCTCCATGCTGGGCTCCAGAGTCTTCTCTGCCTGGGGAAAAAGCATTCTCTGGAGGCCCCAGGACACCAAGACAAGCAGAGGTGCCCTTCTATAGCCCAGGCCTTCCCCCAACAGCACCATGCCCTGAGCCTGGGGCCCAGATCCTCTCCCACAGCACACCCTCTAGGCCAGAGCTTACTTCATGGACTGAATCAAGCCAAAGCGGGCTAGCAGCAGGTCACAGTACAGCTCCAGGATCTCCATGGCCTCCACCAGGTAATCTTCACGGATGATGTGCTCCACACGAATCCTGGCACGCTCATCCTTCCCGGCTGCCAGGTAATCTGCAATCTCCTTCCTTGCCTTCTGGGCCAGCTCAGCTACAGCACACATGCCCAGGGTCAGTCCCTGTGCTGGCAGGCTCCACGCCCTCCCACAGCCCCCGCCATGCACAAAGCCATCCGGAGCTCCCCTCGCTCCGCTGTGGGGCCTCTGCAGCACAGGATACTCAGCTACAGCTCAGTGGAAACCTTGTGACTAGGTCCCAGCACACTAACCCACAGCAGAAAGGAGAATGGGCTTTTAGCTGACCTTCAGCTTCCCTGAGGAGTCAGAGCCACAGATCTTACCCAGTTCTGAGCAGGGCAGCACAGCTGGGAGAGCCTCACAGCGCACAGGAAGTTTTCCACTATGCTGTGAGCACGGAGGGCCCAGGAAAGGCCCCCCAGGGCAAAATGGCACGTCCCTCCACGCACAGCTCACAGCTACGACCCCACGCACCCCATAAACGGCATTCCAAGCCCCTCCAGGAAGGTGAAAAGAGGCCACGTCAGGGCCAGTCTGCTCCTCTGGGCCCTCATGTGCCGGGCAGACTGCAAAGCCTGGGCCTAGCAGGGAGAAGCAAGAGCTGTGCCCTACCCAGCCCATGGAAGTACCCCAACTCCAGAAAAATCTTCTCATCTAGTCTCCTGAGCCCCAAAAGCACGCTGGGTCACACCTGCCCACTCAAAATACTCACTCTTCTTTTTCTCCAACAGTTTGAGGCGATTGATGACGAGGCGCAGGTTGACTCGCAAGCGCTCAGCCTTGAACCCAGAGCCCAACATGATGGACGCTTTCTGTGGGAGAAAAGGGAGAGGTCACTGGAACCAACAGCTGCTGGCCAGAAGGACACCAGTCACTGTTTTAGTTGGGAGGAAAAAAAAGGAATTTTCCAGGCAGGCAGGCCCAGCCCTGCTACTCCTGAACGTGGTTATTCACAAATGACTGAACCTACAGCACTCTTCATTCCCTTTCTCACATCATAACCCTGCACCAAACTGAGGTCAGCAGGGAACAAAAACTTCCTGGATAATCCCCTTCTGACAGGCTGATTTTCAGACCCTTAAACAGACGCAAGATGAACAAAAACTGAGACTGCTCCATAAATAGGAACAGGGTTAGAAAACATACCCTAAAACAAGAAGTAAAAGGCTGGTGCCTATTTAATCTCGATAAGTGACGTTAGCCACTGATATGAATCCCAGAGGGAAGTTTCAAGAATGCCAGATGAAAATCTAGAAGTGGTCTAGGAAAATGTGACTGTGCCTCAGTTCAGTAAGCTGAGCTTAATGAGATGGTGGTTTTAGGTTCCATTCAGCCCTAGCTTTCTAAGAAACCCAAGTGCAAAAAGCTCATTTTTCCCCGTAACCAGCGCAGCTGTTAGGAGACACATATTCATTCCCTCACTTTGAAAGACAAGCAAACCAATGCCTGAAGGCAGCATCTGTGACAGCTGCACACAGTCAACTCCTCCCCCTCTACTCCACTGACAAAATTGCATTTTTAAAGAAATATGAAAGTCAACTGCAAGAACTGAGCCAACCTCTGTCCTATTAATATACAAGTTGCAAAAGAGCTGTGTAATTAAGCCAAGGAAGGTACTGACACGCCTGCCATCAGAAGGAAAAAAGTTGCCATTTGATATTCATCCTGCTCTTCTTGTTCCCTGAACGCATGCTCTGGCACTTCTCCAGTCTCTCATAAACCAGCTTGACTCGTTTGTCTACAAAAAACTAGCTCAGAAGACGTTTTATTATGCCAAGAACTGTTCATCAGAAAATGTTTCCTCAAAAGTGGTCATATCCCACAGAAGGATCTTGGCTTGTACCTGAAGGACACATCAGAGCAGACTTTTGGACAGTGGCAGCACCTTGTGTATAACCAGCGGTTTATGTAAGATTTATCAAGTGTCTAGAGTATATCCAGTTTATTTAGCTGATCTGTTCACACAACAAAACAGTTATTTCAGTGATTCACAGAACCGACCCAACTCAAAAAATACTGCTACAGAAATATATATCCACAAGTCTAATGCCATAAACCCAAAGTTTTGGATTCCTATAACTGGAACATACTCCTACATTAAAACAGCTTTACAGGACTGCAAGAAACAGTCTCAGCACGAGTTGTAGTGACTCTCTAAAAGTACCTACTCAAGAACACTCCTGACTA